GCAGGTAAGGCTTCACGCGGGGGAAAGGGGCTGCAAGTTGAGGGAACAAAGTTGGTCTGGGCGCCGTCGGGGCCCCTGCTCGGCACGGGGGAGGGAGGGGAGCAGAGATGCGCGTGTTTATTCCCAAGCGAAGGGTGCGCGCAAGTCCTTCCTTCCTCTCACGAAGGACCCGGTGGCTCTGCCTGCCTCAGAGATGCGTCTTGTTCCAGCCGCTGGATTTTTTTTGCTCCGCACCTAATGGCCTCCCCACACCCTGCTTTGGCTGTGCTAAATCACCCAGAGATTGAAAACAGACTTCAGTGGACGAGGGCACGGTGCTTGTGGGACAGTAGCCTTCAGCCCTTCGGGGTGGGTGGCAGCTGCTGCTGCTCTTGCCGGGAAATGTGTCCCTTGTGCAGGCACCGCCGCGCGGGGGTCGTGTAAGCTTGAGGGTGAACGTGTCCGTGCTCCGCAGCTCATCCCATCTACGCCAGCTCCTTCTTTTAGGACCGAGTAAAGGACACAAATGTTCGCGTTGCCCAAGTGAGTTAGGAGCTGGATCCTAGTGGCTCTGAGTTTTCAGCTCCCAAGTGTCTAAATACGGTATATCACTCTTGAAAGAAGGACTTCAGGACCTAAGTTGCTTCAATACTTTTGAGAGTTTCCCCTCCACACCCCACCAAGCTTTCTAAAGCCCCAGTCGTGCAACAGCTGGAGCATGCTTGACACTGTGCACGGAAGGAAACATTTTAGAAAACCCAAACTTGTTTTGTCCTTTGTTGAGTTTTTTTTTTTCCTAAAGCTTTGTTTTGTGTCCATTCCCCGGCTCATCCATCACTTGAAATCTGCTTAGGTACCGAGTGCTGAATTTGGCTTTGTTTCCATCTGTATCTTGAGGGCTTAATGTCAGCTAACAATTCAAGGGACACTGCATGTGGCTTTTGATGCTAATGAGACACAAGAGTGATGAGCAGGACTGGGAAAAGGCATCCAAAATTCTTGTGAACAATTATTTCCCAGTCTCCATTAATTGTATGTGTCTGCCTAACTAGCAGAATGATATTCTCCGGTTTTGAAACATTTTAGACGGTAGAAAAGAAAAATCCTGGGTGTTCTGCTTAGTGCCTTGCAAGAAATATTTGGCTTTTCTTAGACCAACTGTAAAAACCACTGTTTGTACTCAGATTTCTCATTCGCCCTTTACTAGATGAAATTGGAGCGGATAAGAGTTCTCACTGGAAGTAAGCTGGAAATCACAATTTCACGTACTTGCCACCTTTTTTTTTTGCACAACCTACGCTTCCATCGTGGATGTTCTTACGGATGACCTGTACTGCTTAAACCTTTCATAAGATATTACTGTAATTTTACCCAGCATCATAGCAGTTAGAGACAGGCTGATTTGATTATATAGTCTGTCTCCCTTTCTATACAGAGTTGTTCTCTATATTATACTTGCTACATTTAATACAGTTTACTCCAGTTGGGGTCTTCTTCTATGTAATTACGACCCAGTGAGGTTGCTATGGCATTGCTACAGTGGTGTTTGTAGGTGTTGCTAGGATTGCTGCACCTGAAATTCAGATCATGTTTCTGAATCCCTCATTTTTAAATTCTGGGTGATAGCCCCGGAAACTAGTGTTGACTCCTTGCTTCCACTTTTTGCATTCCTAGCGTCTGGCTGTTAACATCCTTCTAATTTTTCAGCTTGTCTGCAATGGCAGCAAGATCTGGGTATGCAGCTTTCCCAGTACTGCCCTCTTGCTAGCCACATCCAGTATACCAAAAAGCAGTATGTTATCGAATGCATTGTACTCAACGTGGGTTGTCTCGCTCAATTTGAAGTGCACTGCTCTTAGCTTTCTAGATGCTGTAAATTCTATAGGAGTTGGAAAAGTATTAAGAGCTGGTAAAGAACAAGCAGTCAATGGTTTGGAAACTTGTTACTGAGAGACTTGATCTGTTTCGAACTGTATGAGCCGGGTCTCAGTCTAACGTGACTTTTTGTCTTTTTTTTTTTTTAATGGATAAGTTAGAAACAAGATGTAAGTGTTTACAATGGAAGTGCTGAAGGAACTTTATAGCACTGCAAATAGCATGAATGCGATGCACGCAAACATTCCTAGAAAGCTTGCTTATTATTCAAGGAGTCTTGTTGCCGGGGAGTTTGACAAAGATACTGGAAATATATAATTCTTCATACAGAAGAAATTAGTGTTGGATTGAGACAGCACTAAATAGCCTAACTTTGCTTTCAGACAGTTAGGTATAAGAAAGATTTGCGCATATGCATTTGAGGGCACGATCGGGCGGCGTGAATTATATGAATATATGACGCTGTAACAGTTCTGTTCCAAGTTATTAGAGCTCAGGAAGCTCTAAAGGAGATAAATATTATAATTCACTTGGGGCATTCACTTCAAGCTAAAACCAGATATACAAGTTCACAGCTTAGAATGAATTTTATTTTTATTACTTAGACGAGGATTTGGCTTTCTGATCAAACATGAAAAGAAGAAAAGTACCTTTTTTTTTTTTTTTTCTTTTAAAGATTTGTT